TAGCTTCGGGGCTTACTGGCAAAGTGTCCTTTCTTCGCAACCTCGAATGTCTCTGTGATAGTTTTGGAATTGGTGCACATAAGATCGACGCGGTCCAATTATCTCTTCAAGATGCTGTGTGCAATGTTTCATCTGTAAATGCTTATATCAAAAACACAGTCGCTGAAGTAAGGCAGCACTATAAAATGAAAGAAACGGCAACAATAAATGGCCCTGAAGGAACTGTTTCCAGCAAAACACGGGAATCATTGGTGCTTCTCGAAAGAGGTATGGAACAGCTACGAGATAACGTTAAGAATGTAAACGAGGACTATCTTGGTGACATTGACCTGCGTACGCTGCTAACAACTCAGATGGAGAACCTTCATACAGTCTCCCACTTCAAAAACGAGACTTTCACCGCTCTTCAGTATGCTCAAGACTTTGGAACAATTTTAAAGGAATCTTTAAAGAGAACAACGAAGTGGGGTGCGAAGTACTTCACACTTGAGAAGTCTTATTATCCAGTGCCTAAATCCAGTGTGGAGTTACGGGACGTAGATTTGGTGAAACCTCCTACAGCTGATAACGTTGACCCCAACATTGAGGCAGCCATGAAGGAATTGGTTGACAGGTATCGACCTGTCAAGGACAGTAAGAAGCGAATCAACAAAAGACAAAGCGGGAGCCCTGCCGCCAGCTGTATATTCCAGTGCGCCATCGTGTACTAGAGTAACATTCCAAGAGGATGTTTAAGATGATCCAGGGACAGACAAAGAAGAACGAGTCGACCAGGATACAAATATTCCACGAGCTACAAACGAAGTACCGAGAATTACCTTTGTTGACGAAAGCATGCTCGAAGTTGTCGCAGTTGGTGACGTGACAGACCTCCCCGAGCAACAGGATGAATTCGACACCGACTCGGAGAGCGATGCGGATAATGATACAGACATAACGTTCAGCAGATTTGGTCGTACCACCCGCGCTCATTTCCGCCTTGATTTCTAGAAACAGTTGGGACAATCGCGAGTATTCAGGTATGGAATATAATCAAATGTTTTTGGCCAGGATGGAGTGACATGCCTGTCATTTTTGTTGACCATTATACATTGTGAGCACTGTAGCCGATCTTATTGGTAAAAGAATATTCTGTTATTGCATTCATTACTAGTCAAATTTAAACACTCATATATATTAATTTTCATTTCCCTTGTAACTTTCGTATTTATCTCTTTTTGTTTACAGTGCAGATACACCAACTGGGACCATCTCACAAAGCCAACCAATCATACTGAGGTATTTATACAACGGATGGCAGTCCGTAAATTTGCTTTATTTTACTGTTATTTCGATGTTCTATCCCATTGGCTGTTTGATTTGAATATCGTAATCTGATTTGTTACTAATATATTCTCTCTAAGTGGTCACGGTTGGTGAATCCTCGCTGTAAAAGCGCTTTAAGAATAGAATTGTTATGAGTTATACAAGCCAAATCTGCGGTAGTCTTCAAATATCGTCGGTCATGAGTCTGTGGAAATCTTTGACAGTCTCAGTGGACATCTCCGGCGGTCTTTGTACATCTTCAGCGGTGTTCGGACATCTTCGGCAGCCTTCAGACATCTTCGACAGCTTTCGGAAATCTTCGGCAGCTTTTGGATATCTACCTCACTCTTCGGAAGTCTTGAAATAATCCCGAATTGTTGGAAAATGGCCAAAAAAAACCTCTTTGAGACCATAAACATAGGCCCAACATAGATATTTCCCCTTTTAGGGTGTGGTTTGTTTGTTTATGGCAAAAAAAATAATGTTACATTGAATTTTTTAATGTTAGTGTTAAAATGGCTGAAAATTAACTGTTTAATGTTATACAGTCAAAAAAATAAGTGTTTAGTGTTATCGAAGTACCCCCATTCAGACCCTCTTAGTGGTACATACTCAGTAAAATTTCAAACCAAGACCCACACCCGGTTTCAAACTTGGCCTCTAAAAGTTGAACTTGGTTCGCGCTAAGCATAAGTACGCGTCAGAGCCAAAGATAAACACTAGTAAATTCACCTTAAAAATTCAGCTCGAGTGATACAGTTTGATATTAATGTCTTTCCCTTTGGTTCCATCAGAGTTCAAACGAAAATGACT